CTGTCGTAGAATACGAGCCTCTTGCTGCCCGAATTGCTGCTCGTCGTGAGCTAGGAGTGTCACCGCTCGAGGGTCCTCCGGAAATAACTGCAATTATTCCTTGAGTTGGAAGATTGTCATCCTCTCGATCTTTCCTAGGGTTGGGACGTTCTCCTTTATGCTGGAAGCGGGGTTTGTTTTGGAATTTTTGGTGTCGCGGCGCATCCACGAATTCTCCCAGGTGCCCTTTTTTAATTAGCCTCTCGATTTCTTGCTTTAGTTGGAAGCACTCATCGGTAGTGTGTCCCCGATCTCGATGGTACTCGCAGTATTTTTCCGATTTTTGCCTTTTCGGATTTTCTTTCATCTGTCTCGGGGGCTGGACTAGACCTTTCTGCTCCGCTACCATCCATACTTCCATGAGTTTTGCTTTTAGGGGAGTAAACTTTGGGTAGGTAGGGGCGTGGATCGAACGTCCTTCTTCCTTCCTTTTTGCCTCATGGCGCTCTTCTTCGCGCTTCCTTTTCACGGGAAGTCCCATCTCTACGGCCTCTTCTATCCGGATGAACTTCTCCGCTCGGTTCAGAAGCTCCTCCAGAGTTTGTGGGGGTCGTCCTGCTATGGATTCTTGGAAGCGAACGTGCCTCAAGTTATGTTGCAGTATATCGGCTAGTAGGTCGTGGTTAACATTGGGTACCTCGTGTACCGCTTTGACAAACCGATGTACATAGTCTCTCAATGGTTCTCCCTCGCGTTGTTTGACTTTGAAGAGGTATGATCCGGTTTTGGCGTATCGCTTGTTGATGGAGTACTGGCTAAGGAAACGTTCCGATAACTGGCCCAGGCCATCCAATGATCCTCCTGGCAGACCGTTGAACCAAGTTTGTGCTTGATCAGTTAAGGTAGTTTGGAAGATTTTGCAGTAGGCGGCATCACTGAGGCCGTAAAGGTCGATCTTAGCGAAGAAATTGTTAAGGTGAGTTTGAGGATCTCCGGCTCCATCGAATTGGGGCAGATTGGGGATCCTAAATCCGAGCGGTAAAACTTCCTCCATGATAGCCGGAATAAAAGGGCTTATTCGGGCGGGGAGCGTTCCAAATCGAGCGGTTGATCTTGAAGCTTCTTGTCGCGGGCTTCTCGAATTACGCTTGTTACCATTTTCGCGGTGCCTTCTCGTCTCTTCAGCCCGAGTGTACCTACTCCCATGTTCGCCTCGTGGGGAGTTGCCGCGGCGAAAGGATCGTCCGCGATGCCTATCGCCTCGAGGCTCATGGCGTGTAACACTTGGTCGAGAGGATCCACTTCTTTCTCGGCGGCCTCGTGCCGCTCTCTCCCTTGAAGGAGCCCGTTGCTTAAGGGGCCGTGGTGACCGACCGCGCGTCTCTCCTCGAGGAGCCTGGTCCGAGGCTGAGCTATGCTGATGCGACCGGGGCGGGGCATACCTACGGGGAGCCCGTTCTGAAGAAATGCTCCGGTCGCTAAGCGATACCCTCTCCTCAGAATCGTGGAGTTCTACGATGGGCGGGGTCCCGTGGACGTGAGCGGGTTCCGAGGGGTCGCTCTCTGAAAGAATCGGCTCTTCGAAATCACTATGGCCTTGGGCGCTAATGTACTGAGCTACTGCGTCCGCCGCTGCCCAAGCCGCTGCCTTGGCCGCGGTCTCGTCCATCATTGCTTGCAACTCTTCCGTCGTCATTTGGATGATCGGCACTGAAGGTCCCGCCGTGTTGGTTGTTCCCGCCGTCCTCTTTCTTCGAGGCGGATCCGGGATCCCACCGCCGGCTCCTTGTTGGGGCGGATTAAGGCTACCTTGACCACCTCCTCCCGTGTCACGTGATCGAGTCTGCATTCCCACAGACGGCGCCAAAATGATGCTGCTCAAATGCCAATTGGGCAACCCAAGTGTCCTTGAGCCCACAAAGATAGAGAATGCCGTGAGTCACTGCCACGTGTCCGAGGTAGTCGAAGGGATTGCTCCGTTCGTTAACCTACAAAACAATTGAAACACTAGATGACACGCCGGGTTTGGCCCGGCGATTATCCTCCGACGCTCAAGTCAGAAGATGTATTAATATAAGCAAATAGTAATTATTAATTGCCAAATTAGAGTGTACCTTCCTATGTGAAATGACACATATATTTATAGGTGGATGAATAGGTAGGACTTTTTGTAAAAATCCGATGTGGGACAATGTGTTGTTACTTTTATAGGTAAAAAGTAATGTAATTGAGTTTTAACACAATTAGATTAATTTAGGGCAATTTGGGCCTAATCTTAATTAGGCTTATGGGTCTAATTATGATTAGACACATCACTGCCGAATGGAATCTCGTCTAAAAAATTCCAAGCAGTTTTTAAAAAAAATAGCTTAAAACAACTTTTTTTAAGAGAAGTGAAAACAATAACTAATTTTACAAGTACTTTTTTTTGAGAAAGTTTTTACAAGTACTTAAAAGAACAAAAAAAATAAAAAAAAAAATAAATAATAATAATAATAATAATAATAATAATAATAATAATAATAATAATAATAATAATAATAATAATAATAATAATAATAAATACATTGTTACAAACACATTGTTACAACTAATATATGATTGACCGGGAATGTTGCGTATAACCGTACGAATCCCAATAGTCAAAAACACGGCCGTAGAATGTTTTTCTCGCATTGAAAAATGGGTAAATTACAAACACCCTTGAGTTATGGTCAATTTACGAAAAAACCCCTCTTGTTTAGATAATTACATCTAACCCCTTAAAGTATGTTTTTTTCTTACATCTCCACTCTTATGGTGTCAAATTCAACATAATCATATAGATTTTGTGGAATGCGCTCTAGTTTGTACTCGTTTTGTGTAAAAATACAGTTTTTGATGCACCACAATCAAGCCGAAAAATACATATTATGATCATCTTGCTTCAAAATGTGGAATTCGAATGGGATAAAGCGGGTACAAAAGTGATAATATTCCATATAATCTTGAAATTCCACTAAATTTGAAACCACAAGGGTGGATGTGAAAAAATATTTATAGTTGAGGGGATGGTTGTAATTACCCAAACAAGAGGAGATTTTCGTAATTTAATCATACCTCAGGGTTGGTTATAATTTACCCTTGAAAATTTGTTTCAAAGAGGCCAACTCAACATGCACACCTTCTAGAATAAATAGGGCATCTTTGAATATTGGGTCTACAAGCCCAGCTAACGAAAGGACAAATGTTTTTGCTTCCGTCTATTTCAATGTTTTTTTTTTTATTGACTAAATTTCAAACATGTTTTAATTTCCAAAAATTCAAAATTTATTTTTATTATATCAATTGTTATGTGTTATATTATAAGTCAATACAAATAAAACTTTCAATTCCGGAGATTTTGGAAGTAAATTTTCTTTACGATATTTTTTTGAAGAATGAAACTGAAGTTATTTTTTCACTTGTGCAATAACTAAAAAGTAAAATAAAATTTCTCCGAACATGTTAATTCCGATCTAATAAGTTCGATTTTTTCCACCATTAAGCCTCAGAAAAACATCACGAGATTTTCTTGTTACGGTTCTTCGTCATTCGTATCAAATAGTACATATTATTAAATCGTTGAAGATATACTTAAATAAATGATACAAATTCAAAAAATGAGTGTATTGACAAAATTATTCCTCTGTGTAATTACTATATTATCTTTGCATGCGTAAGTGCTTAGGTGTATTGCAAGGCCAATCAAACTTTAAAAATATATAAGCATATTAATAAATACATGGCTTGTGAGGCATATTATTTGATGCATCATCACTTATTTTAATGCTATACAAGACAACTATTTTTAAGATATTGCAACAAACAAAAATTGTTGTTATAATGAATATGTGAAAGTTTTTCTTTTGTTCTCTTTTTTGGTTAAGTTAAGGCCAATTACAGCCAAACCATGAGGTAAAGGTCAAATTACGAAAAAAATGCCATCATGTTTGGGTAATTTTAACTACCCATTAACTATGAATCTACTCAAACGTCTATCCTTATGGTGTCAAATTCAACATAATCTTCTAGATTCCGTAAAATATAGTCCATTTTATACTTGTTTTGTGAAAAAAATACAGTTTCTGATGCACCACAATCTGATATCTTCAAATCAAAAGACACATCTTATGATCATCTTGTTTCAAAATGTGGAGCTCAAATGGGGTAAAATTGGTATAAAATGGAGAATATTCCACATAATGTAGAATATTCCACTAAATTTGACACCGCAAGGATTGCCGCGTAAGAAGATTCATAATTGAGATGAGTGGTTGTAATTGTCGAAAACATGAGAGGGTTTTTCGTAAAGGGTGGTCGTAATTTACCCATAATATTTAGAAGAGCAAAATAAGAAAATACTATAACATGTAATATATAAAATTAAATACGGGAAAAATACAGTTTGGTCTCTAAAGTTTTCACGATTTTGTATTTGGTTTCATATGTTCACAAAAAATACATTTGATCCATCATGTTTAAAAAAATTAACATTTTAAGTTATTTTCATCAATTTTCCATTAGTACTAACGGAATCAAAAGTGTGCTCATCACTTCCTTAACTGACGGAGTAGCGATAAATTGACGAAAATAATCAAAAGTGTTAAATTATTGAAATATGAGGGACCAAATATATTTTTTGTGACCATGGGGACCAAATGTAAAATCAGTGCAAATTTAAGGGATGAAACTGTAATTTTCCCAATTAAATACCTAATAAAAGAAAGTGAAAATAGAAATCAACACATGAATAGAATCAACCATCAACAACATGAACACGGAAAAATACAGTTATTATCCATCAAGTTTGCACTGATTTCACATATGGTTCCCGTGTTCACAAAAAGCAAATTTGGTCCATCATATTTCAATTTTCGTCATTTTTTCATTAAAACTAATGGAATCAAACGTGTGCCCATCACTATTGTAACTGATGGACTAACGGTAAATTGACGAAAATGAACAAAAGTGTCAAACTATTGAAACATGAGAGACCAATTGTGTTTTTGTGAACACGGGGACCAAATGTGAAATTATTACAAACTTGAGGGGTAAAAACTATAAATTTCCCTGAACACAGTTCATTAAGCTTCATCTCCCCAAAAGTTAACCTTGATGATTTGTAATATAATCCGTACATATTAAACCAAGAAAAGCTCCGATTAATTAGGTTAACTAACAGTGATAAGCTAGCTAATTAAAATGCTATTTTTTGTTGTAACCCAGTTCTAGTGAAGCCACCATGGATTTATAAATCTCGAGAACAAGCCTGTTTTCGAACTCCGATCTCGAATACGCCATGGGAGCTGCTTCTCGAGCTTTCGGGATTCTTTTCGTGCCGAACACGTTGCCGGAGTTTGAGGTGCCAGCTGTCTCGGAGAGGCTGAGCATCATCTTCATGTACGCGTTCTTGAATCTGTACCACAGTTTCATGGGCGACGCCGCCGCCAGCCTCATCAGGCGGAGTTTCCGGCCGATTCTCAGCCGCCATGGACGTTTTCCTCCGCCGCCGCCGCCGCCGCCGCTGCTGTTGCCTGTTCCGAATCTCGCGGTTTTCACGTTTCGTCTGTTTGTTGGGGAGATTCTGTTGTACCCAGCTTTTCTCCTCCACTGTCCTCTGAACGGTGTGATTTCCATTATTACCCCTCTCTCTCTCTCTCTCTCTCTCTCTCTCTCTCTCTTGTCTGTAAATATAGTGTGTGTGTGTGTTTTTTAAGTGCGTATGTAGGAGGAGGGAGATATATATAATATAAATATGACGAAATTCAGAGGTTAACTTTTGCAAGATTTATAAAGGACAAAATGCACTTTGGCCCCTATAAATTTCTGTTTTTCGCACTGACCCCCCTAGAATTTAATAGATAGATATTTGCCATTTGAAATATTATATTGATTGGACTTTGCTGATAAGCCAATTTTTGGAGGGCATTGTGCAACAAAAATAACATTTTAAAGGGGGCAATTTACAATAAACATAACATTTAAAGGGGCAACTTGCAACAAACATACTCATTTTCGATGAATAATCCATCGGAATTTTGCTATCAGAGCAATGTGCAAGAAGAATCATATTTTGAAGGGGGACATTCACTATTAAAAATTTTGAAGGGTTAAAATACGAAAATTAGAAATTTACAGGGGGTGATGTGCAATTTTCCCATTTATAAATGAGGAGATATTGTTGTAAAGTCAGCAAGTCAATAAAGTCGGTTATAGAATTTAGTGACTATATGCTATTATATATATAATTTCTTAAATTTATATTTATTCATTGTGTTAAATTTCATCATAGAAATGTCAAATTTTGTATTTTGGATATTTGATATTCCAAAGGAGGATTAACCCAGGTAATATTAAATAATTTAATAAAAAATTAATTATTTCATCGAATTTTAGAACGTTCAACAAAAAATAAATTCGAAAGAGACAAGATAAGATAAGATGATATAATATTTTTGCGTCGATGGGCGAAATTATTGGGTTTATCAGCCATCAAACAAGGTTCAATTATTAAGTTTATCATGATTAATCTCTCCAATCAAACGAGTCCTAAGTAAAGTGAATCGTAATTAGTAAGTGGTGGTCAAGTTACGTTGGTCAAAATAATTTTGTAGTCGGATGTAAAGAAATATTGGATTAGTGTTTCTAGAAGAAAGTTAGATAAAATAAGTAAATAAATGAAAGCACCAAACTACCTACTATCTATCATAGAGTATAGCGAATTAATTTGTATTTTAGACACTATGGGGTGGATACAAGAGTACCATGGGCTTAATTGCCATCTAAATTAACCAAAAAAAAAAAAAAAACCTAACCGTTGCTTGAACCGGCGATTCGAACCTTCCAATTCGAATTTTTAAAAAATTGAAGTTTTTTCTAAAAATATACCACAAAAATTGAAAATCGTCTTAACTGACGGTTGACCAATACCCTAACCGGCTTAATAACCGCCCTCCAGGTTACGGATCGGGATTAACCGACCCTTGACCCACCGGGTCCAATCCGTAAACAAACGGGTCACAAGTCATGGTGATGTCCAGGGGCGGTACTACATAGGGGGAGGGGGGGCAGTTGAACCCAGAAAAAAAAAAAAAAAAAATTTGCTGTTTTGGCATAATATTTTTTTAATATTACTTTTGGCCCCTTCAAAGGATTTGTAAATGTGTATCTTAACCCTTAATTTTGTTTTTATTCTCCACAATTTTATATAAATTGTAGATATATATTATAGTTTATATAAAAATATAAAATAAAATGGTTAAAACTTGTACTATTTTAAATAAAATTTATGAATATTTCCTTATCGATCTTTGATTTTTTATATCAATGTCTCTAAAAAATAATACGAAACGTGCCATGAATCCCATTAAGTGCAATATATTATTAGAATAATTTAGATTTGTTTGTCATACTTGAAATATGATAAAATTATATATATATATATATATATATATATATATATATATATATATATATATATATATATATATATATATATATATATATTATTTTAATTAAAAATTCGTAGTATAAACCTATTTTTTTAATGTCTTGTGAACCTAAATTTTTTTGTCTTGTGAACCTAAATTTTTTTCGGGGCGCTGCCCCGAACCCCGAAATTTTAGTTAGCACCCCTACTTTCTAATCTTGGGTCCACCCATGGTGATGTCTAAGTCTAGCAAATGGTCTAAAATATAACCAAGACTTTTCCCATCGAGAATCAAATGACTAAGAAATTATATGTTCTTGACTGCACGTGCCGCTGAAATTAATGCATGCCGTAACGGACTGTGAACATATTATATAGCACAAATACTTCAAACACGAGAAATGAAGAAAACAAAAGAATCAGCCGAATTATTTGAATCGTACGTCGCATTCGACAGTATTTAAGCAACTGTGTACAAACATATACAGTTAAACCTCTATAAATTAATACAGTTGGGACTTGAGACTATCAAAATTCTATTAATTTATTGAAACATTAAATTATCGAACTAATAATTTAGTAAGTTTTTATTGAGTCGGGACCAGAAGAAACTATTATTTAAACGAGGTAATTAATTTATCGAGGTTCAACTATATAAGTAAAATAACTACTCGAGTAAAACCCGTCATATATAATTTGTTTCAAAGTCGCCAAAAATCAATAATTTTTTTTTTTACATTTGAGACACAAGAAAAATGTGCCAAACAAACAAGAGGGTACATACACTGTGCATTTCAAGCACACACACATATTCGTAACGCTAAACGCTAAAGCACCCGAAACCCTAGTTCAACAAATAGAATAAGGCGCGGGGCCCACTTGTCGACGAGAACCCTAATCCGGTGAGGTGGGAGTAGCGAACCCATTCAGCAAACCAGCATCATCATCCATTGACATATCAACAATCTCGACTTTACGCGCGTTCAAATCCTCGTTTTCAATCCCCTTCAAACCCTCCAAAACTTCCACCATCGAGGGCCTCATTTCTCTCTCCTGCTGCAAGCACCGAAATGCCAATTCCGACACCAAAGTAACCATCCTCCTCAAATCACCGTTTTTCTCGAACCCAAGGCTTTTATCGACCAATTCATGCAGAGTCTGATTCTGAATCTTATTAACCGCCATATTGGCCAAATTAATATCGTGCCTGTGCCTTTCGGTATCCACAGCTCTAAGCGAAGATATAAGCTCGATTAATACAACTCCGAAGCTGTAAACGTCGCTTTTTTCGGTGAGTTTGTAGCATTGGTAGTACTCGGGGTCCACATAGCCAGGTGTGCCTTGTGGGGCAGTTGAAACATGGGTGACGTCATTCGGGAACAAACGCGACAGCCCGAAATCCGCAACCTTAACGTGAAAATTGTTGTCTAAAAGAATGTTGGTGGTTTTCACGTCTCGGTGGATTGTGTCCGATTTGTGGAGGAAGGAAAGTGCTTCGGCTGTTTCTATGGCGATTTTCAAACGAATGGGCCAAGATAGAAGGCCCGATTTGGCCCGTTTTCCGTGGAGGTGGTCGGCTACTGTGCCGTTGGATATGTACTCGTAGACGAGGAGTAGCTCTCGGCTTCGTTTGGAAGTGCAGCCGTAGAGTTTGACTAGGTTTTGGTGGCGTAAGCGAGTTAGTATCTCGACTTCGTTCATGAATTGCTCCACGCGCTTGAAGTTGTTCTCGTATAACCGCTTTACGGCGATTTCACGGCCATCTGGCAGCACCCCTGTTTCAAAAATTTTAAAAAAAATGTATCATTTCTTTTTTGGATCGGAATGGGAAGTATATATAAAATTATTCGAAATTCAGATTTCCGATCCAATTTAGTTTCGGAATAGTATTCCGAAAAATTTCCAATTTTTCAAAAAAAAGAAGTAAAAATTATAATATTAATATGATGCCTTAATTAATTTATGTAAGAAATAAACACGATTTTATATATACTTTTATATTTTAAAATATTTAAATAATAGAAGCAGATAAATGATATTGTCTTCAAAATCTTGAGATTTCCAAAATATTCCAAAAGTATATAAGTAGCATGATTTCCGAAACTTAAAGAATCAGAATCAATTTTGAACTTCCAAAAAAAAACGAAATGAAAATTTTTCGAAATTGTTTTCCGATCCGATTTCCACCCCTATATGCAAAAAGAGAAGGGATTGTATTCATACCATAATAAACGGTACCGAATCCACCATCTCCAAGTTCTCGAGAAGGATCGAAGTTGTTAGTAGCTTCTTCGAGTTCCGTGTAATTGAATAGCTGCGCACCGAAATAAGAACTTCCCCTACCAAGATCCGATACTGAAGAAGATGGATACGAAGGTATGCTATTCGTAAAATTCGGTGAAGGGGGGGCCAATAACCCTTTGCTCGACGGAGCCTTTTTCATTTCCTTGCTCAAAATGATTGCGGATTTCGAATCGACGTTTTTTTTGCTTCGTTGTATACAGTAGAAAACAAACCATCCGAAGAAAACACCGGCAAGAACTGCTCCAGTTACGGAAAGGGCTGAATATAGATACGGAGAGGATATATAAGTATTCGTTTAGTTTTCGAGCGTAATATGTTTGGGGAGAGAAAATCGACTTTTTATTTCAGTCGAATGAGATCTTACCAATGACTTTTGTTGGGTTTCTGCGGCCAGTTTCTGCAGCAAGCAACGTGATTAAAAAATCATTAGGCAAAATCGAATGATGGCGATACGAAAGAAATCAAGAAACAGAGAAATTAAATACATTGCCTAGAAAATGTAGAAATCAAAACTCGTAATCACTATCGCGGGTCTTTGTTTCTCTTGAACTATTTCTCTCAACCAGGAGTGGAAATTGAACAGATCCGATCGGAATTAGCACTTTCAATAATAAAAAAAAAAAATTCCCCAAGAAAAAGAAAAAATTGAGAGTCGGAATTTCAGAAGTTGGAACTAGGAAAATGTTCCAAAAATCGTAAATTTTCGGACCGAAATTGGCGCAATTTGGAATCTTATTCACCTCTAATAAAAATACATAATAATACTTATATTATAAGGCCCCGTTTGGTTGACAAGATAAAATTAGCCAAGATAAGATTAAATAGTCTAATGAAACCCAATTATTTTATTGGAGCTCGCAATGTCCAACAAAAAAAAAACACACTAGAAGGCAAGATAAGCCAAGATAAGGTAAGATAAGCCATGATTAAATAATTTTGGCGGGTCGACCCGGCAATTTATTGGGATACCAAACATCAAATTAAGTCCAACTATTTAGTTAATCTTGGTTTATCTTGGTAACCAAATGGGGGCTAAGTGTAATTGATGGATTAAAGCATGAACATATAGTGTCGTCTATATCCTACATCATTAGACATACATACATACAGTAGAACCTCGATAAATTAATACTCGATAAATTACTAACCTCGCACAAATAATACTTTATTCTGGTCCCGACTCGGTGTAAACGTATTAAATTGTTAATTCGATAATTTAATATTCACTAAATTAATAGAATTTTGCCCGGTACTCACTGTAGTCCGGACCGTATTAATTTATAGAGGTTTAATTGTAATTAAGAATCACGAAAAAAATACCTTCGAAAGGCGCCGGAGCAATCGGGCTACCTTCCGGTGGTAACGTTATAGTGAAAGTACAAGGCCTATCGCCGCAAATACAAGCGGGTCGACCCAAACCCGAATCGAACCCGCATTGCCCACCCAATCTACTGCACTCGGAGCACAATCTCTCGTGCGGGACGGTGTAATTCACAGCGAAACCCTCCATTAACGCCTCCCGGAGACTCAGCCGCGACGCCGCCAGCAAATCTCCGGCGGACCTCAAAACGGGGACGGTGATATTCGCGCTACAGTATATGATCCTCAAAATCGGGTCGCTGGGAACCGGCCCGATTAAGTAATACGCGTCGGTGAAATTCAAACCGGTCGAATTGCAGGCGAAGAGATTGTGCGGCTCGATTCTCATGTCCGCCGTGTTGCAGCCGTAGAATAGGGTTAGGGCTTCGTTCTGTGGGGCGGCGTAGGTGAAGAGGGTGTTGTCGAGGGCGGCGGTGGGGCGGAAATCGGAAGGGCAGGTGTTGTTGTAGAGATCGGTACGGGAAAGGGTTAGGGATTTCTGAGTTTGGTTGAGTTGGAGAACTCGGTACGTGAGTGAGTTGTGAGTGAACTCGGCGGTGGTGTTGTCGCGGCAGGTGAGGGAGAAGCCGGGGATGCCGCAGTGGGAGGGGCGGTCACCGCCGGTGAAGGGGTAGGTGGCGTTGGTGATGGCGCCGCACGAGAAGGTGCGGTGGCAGTTGGGGTAGGTGGCGGTGGTGGTGGGTTGGGAGTACGCCGCCGTGAGGATGGCGGCGGCGGCGGTGAGGAGAAGAACGAAAAGCATTGGTGGTGGGGTGATTCTGGTAGAGTGAAGGGGCTTGTTTTTTTGTTCATTGTTTGAAGGGTAAGAGAGTTTGAACTTTGAAGAACAAGCTTTTGAAAAAGTTGAAGGGTGGTACAACTGAGAATTGTCTAATTCTTGAAACAGCAGCCTTTATTTGACTGTGAAAAATGTAGTGTGTGAGTGGGGAAGATGGGAATCCTCCTCGTCATTAATTTATGGAATAATTGCACACCACTCCCTGTAAATTTCAAAAGTTTGCACTTTACCCCCTATAAATTTCAAATGCTATTTTTGTTGTACGTTTCCCGATAGCAAAACTCCAATGGATTATTCATCGGAATTTAGTATTTTTGTTGCACGTTGCCCCTTTAAATGTTGTCTTTGTTGCACGTTGCCCCTTAAAAACACTATTTTTTTGCACGTTCCCGTATAAAATGTTAATTTTGTTACATAATACTGTCCAAAAATTGACTTTTCGGATAAAGTGTAACCAAAATAATATTTTGAAGGGGAGTATCTATTTTTTTAATTCTTAGGGGGGAAAATGCGAAGATGAAAAATTTATAGGGAGAGACTTGCATTTTGTACTAATTTAATTGTAATGATTAGCGTTTTAATTAGAAGATGATTAGGTTTAGTTTGTGGAAAATAATGCTTAAAGCCTAAAGGGACTAGATGATTGTAAATTGTAATTACTTGGGAGTGGTCCACTATTGGGCTTGTGAACAAGCCCAGGTCGAACACAAACTCATTTTGGGTGTTTTTTTTACCTACTATTTTGTTAAGATTAATTAAAAATAATAGATTATAATTAAAAAAATAACAATTTACTCTCTCTATATGTATATATCTTCTTTTTATATTATTTCTATAACATATTATTATCACATTATTTAAATAAAAAATAATATAAAAAATAGAATAAAAATAAGGTTCACGATCCGGTTCGTGAGCTTACGAAAAACTAAAATAAACTCAAACTCAACTCGTCAGAAAGTTCGAGTTTTAGCTTTTTTTTAACCGACTCATCGAGCTCACGAGGCGGCTTCAGCTCATTTACCACCACTAGTCCACTGAAAGTGAGAGGGTGTGTACACGGTTGAGTTTTTCATCGCCCACAAATTAAACTTGGACAAGAATAGGTAGGGATTTTGGGGTTTCATGCCATTTTGGTGGCACTATGTATAATCATATTATATTAAATATAATCAAATTATTCGAGCGTAGTCATGTTTGGCTTGATTAAAAGCTCGACTCGATTGCAAATCAAAATCAAGTTCAAGCACAAAATTTGAAGCTTGATCAAGATTGAAACAAGTTTGGAAAATCATATATCCCATCCGAATCAAAAAGCAATTCATTTATGCCCTAAACATAAATCCATAGGCCGGGAAATATCATAAACGTCACGCAAGAGATGGCCTAGCGATTGGAGCAACAAAGTTTGTGCCAAATAACTAAAGTTCGACTATGTTTGTCAAAGCTTGTTAGGTCGAACTTGTCACAAATAGTTAGCCTTAGTATAGTTAGTACTACGTATATCCTATTACTACTCAAATTGCTATATTCCCTAAAGTCCTATTACTAGTTACTACTTACTAGTAACATAAGGAAAAGAAAGCTTCAACCAGAATTACATTCTAGTACATTGGGCTTCGAACCTTGCGCCTATCGTTAGGAGATAGATAAATAGATCCGATTTTTTTAAAAGTTTTTTTTAATTAAAATATATAAATTAAAACTCCATTACAAGAAAAGAGAAAAGTAAAATTGGATATTGAATTGTTGAATTAACCCCACATATATTTGCAATTTATACAAGTCCTTTTTCTTGGATATAAGTTATGGTTTTGCATTATTTATATAAATAACTATCAACTAAACACACATATATATGGATTTGTGTATTATTATGTGTAGATCAATGATGCAGGATAATCGGGTGTAACATCTACAAAAGCATTAGTTCCTAACGTAGTAATCAAGTATATTTATTATAAAAAAGATTAAAAAATCAAGTAATATTCAAGTCAAGTCGACCAAAGTTTCTTTCATTTAGGTGACAAATATAAATATATAATCAAGCCAACTTGTCTTCCACCCACAGTTGACTCTAAAATATTTGTGTAATGTACTTGTCAACAGTCAACGAACAACTAATAAGCCATTTGGGACACACGTTATACCTTATCCACCTAATACTAATCAAAGACTGCACCCTACCTAACACCAACAATTGAATGATCCCAATTCAGGCAAATAGGAAATTTTCAAAACCTTATGGTGTATTGTTTGATTAGATTAATCTTTTAATTTATAATACTCAAATTTCATATCAAATTTTCTCCTAGATTGATCTATTAAGCTATTTTTGAGAGGCTTCTTGTTATATTTAAATTTTTAAAGGATATAAATAGCATATCAAAATGCATATAACATCTCTCTTATAGTTCACATTTTAAAACACTTTCTTTCTCAATTACATTTTTCGTTTTAAATTAATTGTTGCTTTAGAGATTTTTTTTATATTAACGTATATACGATTTTAGAGTTACAATGATGCATCTATGTACTTTTCTCAATTTTACCCTTGTCCGATCTTAACTAATGCTCTATTATGTACATTTCCCCTAAAATTCATGTTTATTTATTAGATTTCTTAACACTTGCGTGCCAGAACCTTAAAACGACAAATAATACAAAACTGATAAAAGAACTTAGAACACAAAAATTATTGCATTAAATTAAAAACAGGAAATTAAGAAAAAGGAAAAAAAGTGGGAAACATAAGTACCCGGAGGAGGAGAGGGTAGTGCCATGTTGACAGGCGGCGAGGTTGCCATAGCCATGGTGCAAGAAGTATTAGAAACATACGGCGAGTTAGAGCAATAACAAACCGTCTTATTATTATCCAGATCATATCCACACCGCCCATTTGACGTCGTACAATTACTGCACATTAATTGGCTACCGATCGTCCACCTCACCAAAAAACCCTGCCGCATAATCCGATCCAATTCCGTTATATTCGGAAGATGCGTTGCTCCTTCAGGAGGCGCAGGCGCTGGAACTATCACACTATTATTACATATTCCAGGGCCTTGATTTCCAGGCGTAATATACACCCCTTCGCCATTATTCCCACAAGGAACAGAGGAATTAGAATCCTTGACCAAATTACCCCCAACATGTGGCGGAGGGCATCCGTACAAGAACGTGACATTCAGGTAAATAGCGCCAAAGTCAAAGGTCGAGTAGTCCAAGGTTGTGTTCTTCATTTCCGTGGGGCAGGCTTCCTCCATTATATCCTCCCTGGCAATAGTCATTGTCTGTGTGGTTTGTGCTATTTCCAGGACACGGTACTCCACGCCCATGATTTCGATGTTGGTTGTCTTGTTTTTACCATTATTGCAAGTGAGGACGAAATTTGGGTGGCCGCAGTGTGGGGGGTCGTCGAATCCACGGAAAGGGTATCCGATTTCGGTGATGTTTTCGCCGCAGCTGAATGTTCTGTCGCAGCTCTGGTACATGTCATCGGGCCCGCTCAATCCATTTCGGGCTTGGAGAATAATCAAGAATTTGATGGCGAGTACGAGATGGAGGAATGAGAAGATCAAGGGGTTTTTGTTCAGGGTATTCATTTAATTTTGGAGAGAGAAAATCAAAATGATGGTGTGAGGGTGCATTGTGTGTAGAAGATTTTTAAGGATATAGTTTGGCTTGGTCATAGTGGTTGAAGAGAGGGCTTTGATGAAGATAATATAACTACAATTTGATTTTTTTTTGCTAATTCTTCGAAGCTGGCACGTAATTTTCATGACAGCGATATAGAAAATGGAGAAACTTTCTCAAGAAAATTATTCGTTGACTTTATATTATTATATTGACTTCACAATTAAAATTATTGACGTTGGATTGTAGACTAGTGTGTCTGGTTCGATTGGCAAGATATATATAATTATATATATACGATAGTATACAAATTAGAAATCAAATAAAATAGCACGTACTTGAATGCTTGACCTAAGAGAAAGTACAATATACAAATTGAGAAAAAAATTTACTTTCCACCCCTCAAGTTTGCACCAATTTCACATTTGGTTCCTCATGTTCACAGAAAACATATTTGGTCCCGCATGTTTCAATAATTTAACACTTATGGTCATTTCCGTCATTTTACTGTTAACCCGCAGTGACGGGCAGATGCTTGATTCCGTTAGTAATAACGGAAAATTGAAGGAAATGACTAAAACTGTTCAATATTTGAAACATGGGGGTACTAAATGTTCCTTTTGTAAACATGAGGGACCAAATGTGGAATAAGTGCAAAATTGAGGGATGAAAAGTGTACTTTTCCCATATACAATTTAATGAGTAAACCCAAGGGTGTTCATTCAATAAATTTGTACCGAATTGTATGGGAATTTCGGTAATTCAAAAATTTGTACTGTTTACTGAACAGAATATTCGGTTCGGTACGGTTTAGCATATAGATCCATAAATAGATTTGTATGTATAGCCACTCCAGTCGTGCTCATACCACTCCAGATTTGAGACTGGAGATAACCATCGATCCAGTGCAGGAAGAAGCCAGTGAGCGGCATATGATCCAATATCGGACCTGGTGAATATATGTATCTCAATCCCGGGATCCCAATCCAAATTATGCATTTACTGACCGCACTCGATTTCTTGATTCACTTGAAGAGAGTAGAGAGTCAAGGTTCGTTGGCAATTAATTCTTGAATTTGACATTCAAATTTCAATAATCGACCTAAAAACAAAGAGTAACTATCAATAGAGGCTAATTTGTAAATAATAGAAAAATTATCAATGTTATTTTACAATGTGCTATGCTTAGAGGATTTAAAATAAAAGAAAAAAAAAAATATAAGTTAAATATTTCGCTATTCGGTACAGTATAATATACCGGACATCAATATCGTATACTATACCAAAACCCAAAATTCAAAAAAAAAATGCCAAATACCAAACCAAATTTTTGGTTCGGTATTTAGCATGAACCGAATTTTTGGTTCGATCAGTATATCGACTACGTGAAAACCCTAAAGTAAACCAAAATAAAGGATCCGTTCTATCCATTTTTTTTTAGTCAAATGACCTAATTATT